ACCTGCTGAAGTTTCAGCTATGAGTTGGTTCTCAAACAGAACATAATAACAGCAAGTCCAAGGTTAATTTTCCTTAATTATTTAAAAACAATCTTTTTTTACTAAATTAGTACATAACAGTTTACGGGTAAATTTTCCTCACTTATTTCAAAAAGTCTTTTGTAATTCGTTGGTATGTATCTGGAATAAGCAAAGCCTACCCATTGTATTCTCCATACTTTTCCAGTCTACATGCAGAACAGATCATTTGAGAGATTCGACTTTATGAAGAAGAATGTGGCATCAGGACTGGAGGAAGACTTATCAGCACCTTCATCATGCAGATGTCAAAACTGAGGAGGACTTGAAGTGTTTGCTTCAGAAGATCAAGTACTTCAGGCTTCCAAATGGATTGCATCTCTGCATCCAGATAGCAAAGATCCTCACCACTGGGCAAATAGGCAGCATCATGATAAATGGAGAAAAGACTGTGATTGTTAACAATTTCATCTTGTTTAGATTCACAATGAACGTCCTTGCCGCCAGCAGTCAGGAAATTAAAAGATGAGTTGCATTGGAAAAATTTGCTGTCAAGGACCTCTTCAGAGTGCTAAAGATCAATAACGTCAGTCTAGAGACTAAGGTGTGCCTGATCCAGGCCGTTGTCTTCTTATTTGCTTGTTACATATTTGAGAGCTGGACAGTCACAGAAGAATTGATACCTTTGAGTTCTGGTGCTGGAGAATAGTATCAGACATACCATGGACTCTCTAGGTCTGTCCTTGATTGTCCAAATTGCTCCTTGGAGGCAGAGCTTTTTAAGCTCTGTTTCACATACTTTGGGCATGTTGCTAGGAGGGAACAATCCTTGGAGAATCATGCAGGGAACGACAGGCCAGGTGTGTCAGAGACAGTGAGATTGGTCAGGACAAGCAAGGTTCAGAGCTATTCTTCATAGATAGGGTTGCTATATGTTGACTCAGCACATAACAACAACAACAACAACAACCACTACCACCACCACCACCCATTGTATTTAGCTTGAGAGTCTCAAAATTTGTTTTCTTTGAAATGCCAAGTTTTTTCTGCCCCATAGTTTATTCTGTGTCAGAGATTTGTTGAAGAACTGGGTTATTTGTCCTTTTGATTTTCTCCAATTTTGGCTTTAATTGATTTTATCATCGTGTTTTGTTTATTATGCTGTTCTTTCCTTCATATTTCCTACCACTGTATTGGTTTTTTTTCTTTCTTCTGAAACTGTGGAATAAATGTACTTTCCTGTTAAGTAAACCCTTATTATTTGGAAAGGAACACAGTCTCACTAAGTACATATTGATCTGAAATGTAGAGCAAAATTTACTTTGGAAGTTGTATTCCATGGCTGTCTAAAAGCCATTAAATTGGCTCATCATCAGAAGACAAAAGGTGAGATGAAAAAGATACTGAGTTTGTGGTGACAGGTCAGTTCCATTCCCTTAAGCAGCTGGGGACTATCTGCTTTATCTTATCATGAAAATGCAGAGAAGGCTATTGTCAAGGATTAGATTTTATTTTAGTTTTCAGAGATTGTTAGAATGCTTACTTTGGTATCACAGATAATACTGTGCATACTTATTGGAAAATGATCTATAATTCCTTCTACTTTTCAGTCTATTTTAGAGGATAATTGAAGTTGGGGGAGGAAAGAAATAAGGAGAATACAAGGGGGAAAATCACCACACAAAAAATAGAGAAAAAGAGAGTACTATTTCCTTTTATTGTTAGCTGCTGTTCTGCGACTCATAGTGACTCAATGAACAACAAATCTGAACCTTGTCGAGGCTGTGCCATCCTCATAATCTCTGGTATGCTCGAGCCCATTGCTATAATCACTGTGTTAATTCATCCTGTTGAGGTTGTGCATTTCTAAGTATTTGTCATTTCCTTGAGATTTTCACATTTGTTTGAGTATAGTTTGAGATGTTTTTTTAAACTCAGGTGGAATAGACTCAAGGTCAGGCTTGTATTTTTGCAATTTTTCCTTGTGGACGTGTCTTCAATTTCAGTTTGAATTTACACATGAGCAATTGATTAATTATAATTAGTAATTTCTCTTACTAGTATGTAATAACCCTGTTTATCATGGTTGTCATTAAAAGGCAGAAGAACTTCTGGATATATATGTAGTAATGAAATGGAAAAGAAATGTACTTCTTTTTTTAAAAAAAATTTTTGGTTTGGGTACAATAATTCATATATAGTGTTTCATTCATGTACATTGTATTTTATATCATCTTTCATTTACATTGTGTTTCATATAATCATTCATATACATTGTATTTTATGTAATTATTATTGACCTAAGCCTATTATTAGGGAGCTCTGGTGGCCGAGGGGCAACAAGCTGCACTGCAATCCCAGAGGAACGCAGTTCAAGGCCACCAGCAGCTCTGCGGCAGCTGGATGAGCAGTCTCCTCCTGTGTGATTAACTGCCTCTGAAAAACCTGCGGGAGGGTCGGCTATGGGTCGGTTCCAACTCTATGGTACACAACAACACAACATGCCTGTTATTACCCTGTTATTTTAAGTTTCCACTGAATCTTTCCTATGTCTTCACCCCACTCAACTCTCCTATCCTAATGTTTTCCATCCCTCTCTCTTTCCTGCCCCCTTCCTCTTTTCTACATTTACACACATTTGACTATATTTATCTTTCTCTTTTTACAGTAACAGTCTTAGGCAGTATTTATCCTTACGAGACTGAGTTAGTGCACTCAGCATAATGTTCTCTAGACTATCCCATGTTACACAGTATTTTATGAAATTGTTGTTTCTTAGTGTAGAATAGTATTCTTTTATGTGAATATACCACAATTTCTCAATCCATTCATTTGTTGATGGGCTTTGGGACAGTTTCCATTTTCTTGCTACTCTCTATAATGCTGCTATGAACATAAGTGTACTTATTTCTGTTCATGGCTCAGTTTTAATTTCGTTAGGGGAAATATACCTCTTTTAAGTGTTTAGAAGAATTATTAAGTATCCTTGCTCATAGGTTCTTAGAAGCTAATATAAGAAGATTAATAGCCCTCCCCACAATGTCCATGTTGTTATCCTGTGAATGTTGTTGCTATGTGCCATAGAATCATCTATGACTCATAGCAATCCTGTGAACAATAGCTCTGACCCTTGCCCTATCTTGAGATAGTCTCACTGTCTGTGACACATCTGCCCCTATTGCCCCAGCCACTGTGTCAATCCATCTTATCAGGGGTCTTCCTCTCCTGCGCTGACTCTCTTCCTTTCCAAGCGTGATGTCCCTCTCCAAGGACTAGTCCCTCCTGGCAACATGCCCAAAGTATGTGAGATGGAGCTTCAAAATCCTTGCCTCCAAGGGGCAACTTGGTTTCACCCTCAAGGGGCAACTTGGTTTCACCCTCTCTAGGACAGAAATGCTTGTTCTCTTTGCAGTCCATGGTTTGTTTAAAACTCTTCTTCACCACCACAGCTCTAAGACTTAGATTCTGTTATCCTTAGTCATTGTCCAGATGTTAGATGCATAGCAAGCAATTGAGAAGAACATGGCCTGGATCAGGCTACACCTTAGTCTCTAGACTGACATCATTGCCCCTTAGCACTCTGGAAATGTCCCTGACAGCCAACTTCCCTAAGTCTTTTGATTTCCTTACTGCTGATGCCAAGGAGGTTGATTGTGAATCTGAGCAAGATTGGAATTGTTAACAACCTCAATCTTTCCTCCATCTATCAGGATGCTGCCATTTGGCCTTGTGGTGAGAATCTTTTGTGAACTCACTTGACATCCTGGGAATATGTTACTATATTTGACAAAAAGAAATTTTCAAATATGATCAAGGTTCTGTATCTTGAGATGGGGAGAGCATTCTTAATTTTGTAGGTAGGTTCCCTTGAATCATATGAATGCTTAAAAACCAGAAAATCTTCTAGTAAAGACTGGTGGAATCCCCAAGACGCTGGTCCTTAGTTACCTTTCAAACCTGTAACATTCACTCCTGTGATTCAGATTTCAACAGAATAATAGATCTGTTAGGGAGCCCTCGTGGCTTGGTGATAACAAGTTGTGCTGCCAACCCAGGGGCACATTTTCCAATCCACCAGCTGTTCCTTGAGAAAAGGATGCACTGTCTCTTCTTATGCATTTCCCTGCCTCTCAATACCCGCTGGAGGGTCAGCTACGAATTGGTTCCAAATGGACAGTATGTTAAAACAACAGTAACACCCAGGAGGAACTCACTCATTTGAAGAAATAAGTAAGATCAAAAGATCACTGTTTGCCCAGAGATAAAGCCGAGAAGGCAAGAAAGGATAAGAGAAAAGGATAAAGAAAAATGAGAATCACAGGGCGGAAGTACGAAGAATGAGGTTACAATTGTGGGTATTACAAGTAATGCCATAAAACAAAGTGAATGTGAATGGTTGGTTAAACAGAAAACCAGTTTGCTTTGTGGACTTCACTTAAGTCAAAATTGAAAAAAAATTCACTTAAAGTGGCTGCATTTATGGGAAGCCAAGTCTTCCTCTGAAGCAGCTGAGAACTGAGAATGTCAAGTAATCAACCTCTTCTTCCGGGGAGGTGGTGGTGGGGGGAACTAAAACCTCAGTGTCTTATCACTGTTGATGTGGAAGTAATAGAGGCTAACTAAAATCAGGTTAAATAAACAAAGCAAGCAAACAAGATCCAGAAAATCTTCATGGCTGTGACCAGAATTATTAATGGTGGAGAAGGGTCAGAGTTGTCTTTGAAGATGGAGCAAGGAGACCAAGCAATGCAGGTAACTTCTAGAAGCTGGCAAGGATAAGGAACTGATTTGTTTCCTTGACCCTCCGGGAAGGAGTGCTTTGTGACCTGTGTTTATTCATAAATTTGCCTTGTTTTGAGCCACTAACTTTCTGGTAGTTTGTTACAGCAGCAACAAAAAACTAATACCAAGACTAAATCATCAAGGTGAATAGACAGTGTGGAAAAAAGTAAATATTTGGTAATATTTGTCTTCTCTTTCAGGTAGTTGTCGAGCTGGGAAAATTTGAAAGGACGAAGTTTAAAAATTCTAATTTGCAAAATGGACATACAAAAATGAGGGAAGAGTCTGGACATCTCTACCCATTCCTTAAAAAAGAGGTGTTGACCACGAATGGGGAAGAAACGCCTGAAACTGACAACTACCCTGTTATGCTCTGGTGGTCCCCCTTGACAGGGGAAACGGGGCGACTGGGCCAGTGTGGGGCAGATTCTTGTTTCTTCACCATCAACCGGACCTACCTGCATCACCACATGACCAAAGCGTTCCTCTTCTACGGTAAGGAGGCCATTTACTTCTCTCCCCTCATTTGTTGTCATCTTGCTCTAAAGCTTACGTCCTGCTTTCCTTCTGTATTACTTTCTTAATGCTGCTGTAACAGAGCCTCACTAACTGTGTGAAGTTTGAAAACAACTGAAGTTTATTCTCTCACAGTGTGGAGTCTGGAAGTCAGAATTCAGGATTTCAGCAGGGTCAGGCTCTCCCTGAAGGCTCTGGGGGAGGATCCTTGCTGTTCTCTTTTGGTTTCTGGTCGCCTCAGGTGTTCGTGTAGATGCATCACGACAATCTCTGCCTCTGTCTTCACATGACCATCTTGTTCCTGTGTCTGTCTCTAATAGACTAGGTTAATGGACTAGGGCCCAGGTTAACATTCAGTGTTACCTCATGTTAATGTTAGCTAATTTTATCTATAGATCTAGTATTTCTAAATGAGACCCTATGTACAGGTGTTAGAGGTCAGGGCTAGAACAGATCTTTTTGGAGGAAACAAATACATTCTTGACATCTCACAAAGATAATTGGTGGAGCTTTCCTTGAGATTAGTGGAAACCCAATTTGCATTGTGTTTGCTCTGTAGAAGATGTGAACTTTTGGTAAATACATTAAATAAATGAGCATGACCAACATAGAGGTGGTTGACTGGGTTTGCGGAAGGAAGAGATCTTTTTTCTTAGCTTTTTCGCAATTTAATATTGGTATTTGGTAACTCGAGTACTAATTGTACTGCTGACATCAATTCAGAATGTCACCTGTGATAATAGCCAGGAGATTTTGATTCATGCAACAGATGTTTAATTGGGCCTAGGTCAAACATAATGCTTTTATTTCATTAGTGTCACATTAATTAGAAGTGAAAAGCAAAAGATGGTTCAACTTCAGCTTCCAGGAGCAAATTAGTATTTATTACTTGTTAAGGATGATTATATATCTTGCTGGGGTTGAAGATCAGCCATACCTGGGGGTGGGTAGAATTAGCTGGACGCCGGCAACAAAGTTAGGAATACTCGAGTGATGAATACTTCTGGGCGGCGGGGAGGGAAATACAGATTAGCGAATGAGACCAAATAGAGGCAACGTTAATCAGTGACATGAGGAAGTCAGTAAAAGGAAATATGTAGGGTGGATATGATTATGTGTTTGTGTATATGCACATGATGCAGTAGTGCTAGTACCTATTATGTTAATACCAAATTATTGACAGTTTAATTCCGTAAACTCTTCCACAGGAGAAAAATGGGCCATCTCCTCCAGTTAAGATTCAGAGCCTTGGAAACCCGATAGAGGGTAGTTTTGCATTGGAATTAACTCAATACCAATAAGTTATTGACCTTGCAGCCTTTGGAAATTATACATATCTCTGACTGTCCTTAAGTTAGAACCAACTCACAGCTTACCCTTCAGTTGTTTTCAGAGACTGTAAATTGTGTTGGAGGAGATAGCCCATTTTCCCCCATCTTTTTCTTGAAGAACACCTGGTAGATTCGAACTGCCTGCTACGGGTTGACAGTGCAACTCCTTATCCACGAGCCCACTAGCGCTCCCAGATTGAATAGATATGGTGAAAGGACACAGCACTGATGCACACTAGTCCTCATTTTAAACTGTTCCCTTGTTCTGTTCAAATGACTGCCTCTTCATCTATGTACAGGTTCTGCATAGACACAATTAAATTCACTAAAATTCCCATTCTTGGTGAGCAATAGTTTCTAACATCATTTTAACTCTATAAATGTACTTCACTTGAGCCATGCAGGATATTAACATTTCTAAACTGGTGTAACTTGCTTTAAAAAAATAACTTGGAATTTTAAGTAGAGTGGAATATTATGTCAGATATTTATTTCATAGATTTGATCATAATGAAATGTCTGCTAGAGATTTTGGACCTAGTGGATGAAGTTTCTCCTGCGCTTTACTTTGGTATTTTTTTTCCTGATACTTTTCTTTCTTGATTTAATCTTTATTTTACTATCTTCTGAGAAAGGTTATTAGAAGCTAAGTGTTTAGAAAGTTTGCATGTGTGAAATGTGATTGAAGTAGAAGTTCATAGAATTCCAGAGGGAAAGTTAACTACTTTTGAGCTATTTAAAGGACTTAATCCCTCTCGTCTGGTTTCTAGTGTTACTGCTGGAGAATACAAAGCTGTTTCAGTTCCCTGTGCTATCAATGTGCTTGCTTCCTCAGTCATGCCTGCCTTGCCTGGAGATAGGCAAAATCTTCTCTTTCGGAAAAGAGCAACTTGGTGCGGATCTCTTTCCTTTTATTGATATAGGCACTCCAGTGTCTCTAGAGTAGTATTTAGCCGGGTGAATTTTCCAACATTAACAACTCTACTTATGTGTCCACCAGAATATTTCCTGGTTGCTCTTCATAAACCATGCCTCAGATATTGTTACTCTCCAGCCTCCAAAACTGTCAGTGACTCCAACTGAGAACTGAGTAGGTGCTGTTTTTATTAACCCACATACTAAAATTTTGTCTGTGTTCTAACTCCAGTTTCTCTTAAGTTTAACCACTGTAACTGATGCTTGGATGGGTGGAGGGATGGTGCAGGAGAAGACCCTGGATGAGCTGTATTGACACAGTAACTGGGGTAGTTGAGGGTAGATGTGTCAGAGACAGTGAAGTTGGCTTTGGGTAGGGCAGGGCTCAGAGCTGTTGTACACAGGGTTGCTATAAATCACAAGTGACTTGATGGCAAGTAACAACACCACCATCAGCAACATTGTTGTTGTTGTTATGTGTCATCAAGCCACCTGTGACTCATAGTGACACTTTGTACAGCAGCTCTGAACCCTGCCCTGTGCTGAGCCAGTCTCACTAATTCCAACACACCAACCCTCATTGCCCCAGTTACTGTATCAATCTGTCTCATCCATGGTCTTCCTCTGCTGCGCTGTCCCTCCACCCTTCCCAGAATGATGTCCTTTTCCTGGCCATGTGCCCAAAGTCTGTGAGATAGAGCTTCAAAATCCTAGCCTTTAAGAAGAAACTTGGTTTCACCCTCTCCAAGACAGGCCTGTTTATTTCCTTGGTGGTCCATGGTATATTTAAGGGTCTAACACCACAGCTCGAAGGTATCAGTTCTTCTTCTGTCATTCTTAGCTATATTGTCCATCTCTCTGATGCATAACAAGTAATTGCAAAGACCATGGCATTGATCAGGTGCACCTTAGTCTCTAGACTGGCAACAGTGTAACAACCCTATAAACAACAGTTCTGAATCATGCCTTATCCTGGACCTTCTTCATGATGGCTGATATGCTTAAGTTCATTGTTACAGTTGTATGGAAGTAGGACATTATGAGTAATATCTGATATGTAGTAGGGATATATTGTTGTCGTTATTGTGTGCAATCTTAGCTGACTCTCCACTGGGTTTTCTGAGGCAGTAAATTGCATGGGTGAAGACTGCCATTTCTTCCTTCTGCAGAACAGCTGGTAGATTCCATGAACTGAATCAAGTACTTTTAGGATATAGTGCAGCTTCTTACTACTAGGCCACCAGCACTCCCTGTGTACTCTGGTCCTAATATATCTTTATTTCTTTTTTATACCAAACAATGTTATGTTGTTGTTAGGTTCTGTCAAGTAGGAATCAACTCATAGCTAATACTTCAGCAGGCTTTCAGGGGCTGTAAATCTTTTGTAAATATCGATTATTATCCTTCCTCAGGATAAGTGGTGGAGTTGTACTGTACTGTCAGCTCAGAACCACCTCATAGCTAACCTTCCAGTGGGTTTTCAGAGGCAGTTAATATCATGGGAGGAGATTACGCATCCTTTTTCCATAGAGGAGCTGGTGGAGCTATGTGCCTTTGTGATTGCAAGGCATCTTCTTACCATAAGGCCACCAGAGCTCTCTGCAAACTCTGGTCTTAGTACACCTGTATCTCTCCCTTATACTAAAAAATGCAATGTTGTTTGTGCTTTTAAGTAGGAATCAATTAATAGCTGACCTTCCAGCAGGTTTTCAGAGGCTATAAAACTTAAGTTAGGATTTATTATTATCCTTATAAAGGATAATGTAGGGAGCTCTGGTGGCATAGGGGCAAGAAGCTGCACTGCAATCCCAAAAGCATGCAGTTTGAGACCATCAGTTGCTCTGTAGAAGGATGGACAATCTCCTTCTGTGCAATTAACTGCCTCTGAAAACCTGCTGGAGGGTCAGCCGTGGGTCAGTTCTGACTTAGTAGTACACAACAACAAGGGTACTGTTGTTGTTGTTAGGTACCATCGAATCACTTTTGACTCACAGCATCCCTGTGAACAGTAGCTCAAAACTCTGCTCTATCCTGAGTCAATCTTACTGTCTCCAACACCCCTAACCTGATTATCCTAGTTACTGTGTCATTTCATTTCATCTAGGATCTTATTCTCCTTCACTGACCCTCCACCCTTACAAGCTGCTTGTCCTTCTCCAGGAACTGGTCACTCCTAGCCACATCCCAAAGTATGTGAGACAGAGCTTCAAAATCCTTGCTGCCTAGAAGCAGCCTTGTGTCAACCTCTCCAGAATAAACTTGTTTGTTCTCTTTGCAGTCCATGATATGTATAGTTATAATACTCTTCTCCAGGACCACATCTCAAATGCATCAATTCTTCTTCTGTCATCTTTGGTAATTGTCCAGCTTTCTGATGCATAGCAAGTAATTGCAAAGACCGTGACCTGAATCAGGTGCACCTTAGTCTCCAGACTGAGATTGTTTCTCTTCAGCACATCTGAAAGGTACCTGATAGCAGTCTTTCTCAGAACACTCTGTCTTTTGATTTCTTGACTGCTAGTGCCAAGAGTGTTGATTGTGGAGCTCAGTAAGCTGAAATTTATAATAGCTTGTCTCTAGGGTCACTATGAGTCACAAGTGACTCCATGGCACATAACTACAACAACAACAACAATCTCTTCTCCATCTATCATGGTGCTGCAAATTGGCCCAGTGGTGAGAACCTTCATTTCTTGATGGTGAACTTCAATCCATACTGAAGACTGCAGTCCT